GGCAGTTGAATAAGGTGACTATCAAAAATAAGTACCCGCTCCTAAGAATTGATGATTTATTCGATCAGTTGCAAGGTTCCAAGTGTTTTTCAAAGATAGACTTGAGGTTCGGGTACCATCAAGTAAGGGTTAAGGATGAAGATATTCGGAAGACAACATTCAGGACTAGATATGAGCACTTTGAGTTTCGGGTTATGTCGTTCGGTCTGACTAATGCCCCAGCAGTATTCATGGATTTGATGAACCATGTGTTCGGGTTTTTTTAGATATGTTCGTAATTGTATTTATCGATGATATATTGGTGTATTCTCGTTCAAAGGCTGAGCATGCAGATCATCTGCGTACTGGTATGCAAAATTTTCTAAATGTGAATTCTGATTGAACTCTGTAGCTTTCCTTGGGCATGTTATTTCGGGTGAAGGTATCAGGGTGGATACACAAAAGATTGAGGCAGTAAAGACTTGGCTAGACCCACAACACCGACGGAGGTTTGTAACTTTCTCGGTTTGGCAGGTTATTATAGAAGATTCGTGGAAGGATTTTCTTCCCTTTCAGCACCTTTGACAAAGTTGACTCAGAAGGGAGCAAAGTTTCAATGGATTGATGCTTGTGAACGGAGTTTCGAGGCATTAAAGGACAGATTAACGTCAGCACCAGTTCTAACGCTTCCAGAAGGGACCGATGGTTATGTGATCTATTATGACACTTCAGGCATTGGATTGGGTTGTGTGCTGATGCAACATGGTAAGGTTATGGCTTATACTTCTAGACAATTAAGAAAACACAAGAAGAACTACCTGACCCACGATTTAGAGTTAGCTACGGTGATTCATGCACTAAATATGTGGAGGCACTACTTGTATGTCATTCATTTGATATCTATACGGATCTTAAGAGCCTTCAGTACATCTTCAAGCAAAAGGAATTGAATCTACGTCAAAGGAGATGGTTGGAGCTACTTAAAGACTATGACGTTGATATTTTATACCATCCGGGGAAGGCAAACGTAGTAGCCGATGCCCTCAGCCGTAAATCTATGGGTAGCCCATCGTATTTGCAGCCAGAAAAGAGGGGAATAGCCCATGAGGTTCATCAGCTAGCTAGTCTTGGAGTTCGGTTACTGGACTCAGGTGATGTTGGAATTACTCTTCAGGATACGACAATATCCTCTTTAGTAACTGAAGTAAAGGAATGCCAGTACGAGGATCCTGTGTTAGTTTATTATAGGGATACCACCCTTCAGAAGGAGAAGACGCTGTTTGAAATTACAGAAGATGGGGTCCTCAGATATCAAGGATGATTATGTGTGCCTAATGTTACAGGGCTACGTCGGCAGGTTATGGGAGAAACTCACTATTCTCGTTATTCTATCCATCCAGGAGCGACAAAAATGTATCATGATGATATCAGGGAAGTGTATTGGTGGGACGGAATGAAAAAGGATATAGCAGAATTTGTTGTCCAGTGTCCTAACTATCAGCAGGTTAAGATTGAGCATAAAAAAATTGATGGATTATTATAAGCTATGGAGATTTCGACTTGGAAATGGGAAATAATCAATATGGACTTCATCGCAAGCTTACCTCGTACCCAGCATAAGTTCGATTCGATATGGGTGATTGTTGATAGGCTTACAAAGTCAGCCCATTTTCTGCCCGTTAGAACTACATATTCCTAAGAGGATTATGCGAGGCTTTATATCAAGGAGACAGTACGACTGCATGGTATCGCTGTGTCTATCATCTTGGATAGAGGAGCTCAGTTTACAGCTAACTTCTGGAGGTCCTTCCAAAAAGGATTGGGGACTTAAGTAAGTCGTAGTACAACATTTCATCCCAGACAGACGGACAAGCTGAGCGTACTATTCAAACACTGGAGGATATGTTACGAGCTTGTGTAATAGACTTCAAAGGTAGCTGGGATGATCATCTTCCACTTATTGAGTTTGCATATAATAATAGTTACCATTCCAGTATTCAGATGACTCCATACGAAGCTCTTTACAGACGGAAGTGTAGGTCGCCTATAGGGTGGTTTGATGTCGGAGAATCTGGATTACACGGGCCAGACCTGGTTCAGTGAGCCATAGAAAAAGTAAAATTTATTCGGGAACGACTATTGACACCTCAAAGTCGTCACAAGTCATATTCTGACGTGCGGCGTCGAGATTTAGAGTTCGGGGTTGATGACTGGGTATTCTTAAAGGTGTCACCTATTAAGGGTGTGATGAGGTTTGGCAAGAAAGGCAAACTTAGCCCATGGTATATTGGGCCTTATAGGATCATTCGGAAAGTGGGCCAAGTAGCTTATGAGTTAGAATTGCCCTCGAAGTTGGAGTCTGTCCATCTGGTTTTTCACATATCTATGTTACAGAAGTACATTGGCAATCCTACCCGAGTGGTGCCCACGGATGATGCACAGATTATAGAGGACTTATCATACGAGGAAGTTCCGGTTGCCATCCTAGACCGACAAATCCGCAAGCTGCGGAATAAGGAGGTACCCTCCGTGAAAGTACTTTGGAGGAACAATAATATGGAAGAAATGACTTGGGAGGCCGAGGAAAACATGAAGTCTAGATATCCCTACCTATTTCCTCCTTTAGAGAAGGGTCCGACTGAGACGTCATAATCATAAGGTACGTGTATAAATTCTTGTGTAGGTTATTGTCGTTAGTCATGTGAGGCCATTGTCATTATTGATAATTGTGGTCCGGTGTGGCATGGATTATTAAGCTTCTACAGGGAGAGTTGGTAGTAGTGTAATTACAAAGGCGACCCAGCCAAAGTTATATGGATCGCGGGGAGTTAAACATTCGAGGACGAATGTTTCTAAGGGGGGAAGGATGTTACATCTCGCGTTTTCGTACGTTAAAATTTCATTTTAAGTTAACTGACGTAGACTCGGGGATGAGATCATCTTGACGTTAACGTACTTATGCTATTTATAACAAGCGATAAATAAGTGTTATGAAGGATAAAGGGGTACATGGATTAAAGAAAATGAGTTTCGTTGAAAGTGGCCAATTTGGAATAAAATACGGGTTGAGCGATAATACCCGATAATTATGAACTAGTACCATGCAAGGTGCCATATGACTACGATAGTATAATATATAAAGTATTTTAAAACTAAATAGAATTTTAAGTAATTTATGGTAATTTTTAAATTATGTGGGTAATTGATTAATTACCGGATAACATGACATTACCCGGTTAAGTAATAAGTGGATAAAACTTAATTAATTATACTCCAAAGGCATGTGGCAACACATGAAGTGACTAAGCAATTAAATAACCTATGTGGCAACCTAGGAAATGATAATTATACACAAGTAAGATACATGTACAAGTCTTAGAAAAAAGTGACACAAAAAGTGACGTTAGTCACTTTCAGAAAGTAAACAACAAGGATTTCTTTCTTAATTTGAAAGGTTAGAAGCTAAGGAAAATATTAGAAGTCTTCATTCCAAGCGAAGTTCATTCAAAAACAGAAAACTTTTCGTCCAATTCTTGCCAAATTAGCTTGGCTTGAAACCAAGAACCTTGAAACATAAAACATTTCGTCCAATTCTTGCCAAAATTTCGATTGAAATTTCAAAGAGCAACCCCAATTTCGTTTCTGAATTTCAAGGAAATCCAAGTGTAAATTTCGTTCATATTTCGCAGAAGCAAATTCGTTCAAACAATTCAAGGAACAGGTATGTTAAGGTTATCCCTTCTTTCTTTTGGCATGATCCATACGATGCAAACGAAACGTGCAAATGCACAACTTCCATAAATGACTCTATTCATAGAAATGCTAGAGATTCTTATGTTCTTGATTCTCCATGTGTCATATTATTCTATCATCTGTTCATGGGTCTCAGAAAATTACGTAAGTTGAAAAACTTTACTTCATGATATTATTCAAAGGCATAATGGTCTGATGACACTCCAACAAATTTTATTGACGTATTTTTCATGCATTGCATTCATGTACATTGACCCGTGACCAGATAACGTTATATACGCGTATATATGTATATTATATATATATGGGATATGGAAAAGGTTACAGTGTTATATACACACCACCGCCTGATCAGCTGGTATATGTTGATGATGTTGCCCACAGTGGCCGAGATGATATAATGGGATGCCCCAGTGGATTGATGATATTATGTACATCCATACCTATGCATGGCATGACATTTATACGCACGAGCATGACATTATAAACGTTTCAGAATTTACAAAGTTATTCAAATTTAAAGATGTATTTCGTTATTCCATGTTTCATCTATGTCTTTTACGTACTAATTTTCATGCCTTACATACTCAGTACATTNTCGTGGCTTAGTCCCATATTTGTACAGTTATATTTCTATTAGAGGTCTGTAGACAGTATGTCTAGTTGGATTATATGTGGCCTTGTCGGCTTTCAGTTTTGGATGTATAGTTGTCTATAGCAGCCTTGCCGGCTCGCCCACTGTATTTTGCCTATATACGTACATATGCCTTGAAGACAGGTTTCCGTCTTGTATGTTATTTTCATAATTCAACAGATGTTACTCAGGTCCATATCTTAGACACATGCTTAGGGGTGTTTGACATGTTGGACTCAGGCACCCGTCGCGGCCCATCGATTTGGGTCGTGACAGTTTGCATGATTAGTAAAATTTTCTTGAGCTTCAAGTGTATCGTGAGATTTAGAGCGGCACACCTTAGCTATATGACCAAACTTGTCACAAAGTTGGCACTACACTCTTTGTTGATTAGACCTGTTATTGAATACTTTTGAGTTGGTCATTTGTCCAGAAAAATTACGGTTGTTAGGCATGAAATTGGAATGCCCTCCCCTTCGCTGAGAACTAGTGTGGTTTCTTCCTTTAGATTGGTTAAACGAGATGCGCTGCTGGCTAAATTGTGCAGTGATAATAGGTTGCTCATTCTTTGATTCTGAGTGCTGGACTAAAACTTCATGATCAAGAAGTTTGTCAAATAGTTCTTCGAAAGATATCAGATTATCACTAGCGCGTATAGTCGCGTAGTCTCTTTGTATTCTGCTCCAAGTCCGCTCAAAACTTTGATGACTAGTTCCTCATTTGTTAGAGGTGAGTTAGAGGCAGCCAAATCATCCGCAATGGATTTAATTTCTTTCATGTAGTCGCTGACGGACTTGGAGTCTTGCCTGATGTTTGAGAGTAACTCACGAAGACCAAATATTCTTGCTTGATATTTGTTCGCATAGATAGTTTGCAAACTGTCCCATGCATTTTTCGCAGTAGCTGCTTGAGCAATTAGCGACGCAATGGATGGATCGACAGAGGCCATGATTGCACTGCAAATAATGATGTCTTGCCTTAGCCACAACTTGTAGTTTGGATTAGGAAGTTGATTGCCTTTGTCATCTGCAATATACACTGGAGGAACAACATATGTGCCATCGATGTAGGATAGGAGATCATATCGAAATAGTAAGGTGGTTACTTGGGCTTGCGAAGTCGAATAGTTTGAGCTTCCCATCAGTTTGATCGAGAGTTGTGACGCTAGGTTGAAGGAAATCAGTTGTGTTGGTTGGATCACATGTCTGTGGCTAAAAATGGTTGGTGAGGTGGTGGTGCTTGAGTTCTCTCCCATTAGGCTTTAACTTGATGAGGGAAAGAAAAGGTTGCAGACTTTTGGGATTGCTCGTGTAAGCTTACGGCTTCTAATACCATTAAACATTGAGTATTTGGTGTTCCAACTTGTATTATTGGGTCATGTAAATGAGTACATTTATATCTGAAGAAATACACTGGTAGTAGGAGTTTTGTAGATGAGGAAGAGAGGTTTAGGATATATATACAATAATTTGAATTCAAATAAGAATCTTAGCTCTACTTATCCTTATCCTTATCAGTTTGGTCATGTGAGGAGGAGAAGCACAGACATCCCGGTGAGTAGGTGTGAGAGGTTGACATTGGAGGGCCTACGGAGAGGTAGAGGTAGGCCAAAGAAGAGTTGGGGAGAGGTGATTAGGCAAGACATGACGCAACTTCAGCTGACCGAGGACATGACCCTTGATAGGAAGGTATGAAGGTCGAGGATTATGGTTGTAGAGTAGGTAGTCTAGAGGGTTCATAACAATAGTATTGGCTCACAGTTTTGTTTTCTGTTGGTAGTAGTTTTTTATTACTAACAGTTATTTTCTTTCATTGTTGATCACATTACTGTGTTGTTGTTTTTATTCTATTATATGGCTTTTTGGTACTATTCCTTCTTGTCTATATTTTCATTAATGTGGTGGTTATACTTTCTTTAGCCGAGGATCTATTAGAAACAGCGTCGTCTCTAGTCAAGGGTATGTTTTTGGTGTCTTCACCCATTTAACTTTTGTTCCCATTTTAAAAAGATTTATAAATAGAGATACATTGTCAGAACTTCACCTCCCTCTTCTTCTTCTCAAGATTTGCAAATAATTTATTCCAAAGTTATGATACAATTTGTACTAAAGTTCTTTTCCCATCCATCAAAACTTCTGACGATCCGTCAGAACTTGTGAATAATTTGATCCAATGTTATGACACAATCTGAACGAAAATTCTGACGATCTATTAGGGCTTGCGATCAAGTTTTGACCCACAAACTCCTGACTATTTTTGAAAAATAAATAAATTAACCAAGTGTATAGATAAGTCATTTATAAGTTGGTTTAATGGGCTTGTCATTGTATTAAACATTTTCTAGTTTAGTCTAAGCCGATAGGTTGGCTTATCGTTGTTCTACATATTTTCTAGTCTGGTGAAGTTAAGAACAGCTGTTAGGTATAGCAACTATTCTAATGAGCACTTAATACGGTGAGATTTCTCAATAAGTGAGTAGTTGTAGAGTTTGGGAGAGAGTTATGGCATTATTAATTAGCAAAATTTACTTCTCTTTAGCTATGACTTTTTTCCTTTTCACATCAATATCTCTATATTCAAGTTAAGACATAGGGCAAATCAAAGATAACAAGAAAATTCTACACCGGAGGAAAAGGAAAATATATATCTACCACTAGGACTATTCCCCCCCTCCCTCCTTGTTTTTTTGTTTGGTTATCAATGGAGTAAAACAAGAAAATCAAAGTAAACTACACGTGAAAACACAAAATTCTAAGTCTAGAAGAAGATGAAAGTATACATCCACCACTAGGACTAATTCTTATTCCTTCCATTTTTATTCTGTTTGGTCATAAATGGATTTTAATTATAATTTGTAACATCATGACCTATTGAAACTTACAAAAATATAATTTGAATTTGAATATAATTGAAAAGAATGCGGTTTATATAGTATTATATTTTCCGGCTTTCTCTTTAATTTTAATATCTTTCTTTTCCAACTTACAAGAAAGGGAAAGGCCCAAATTTCATCCACTTTCCAAAAAACAAAAAACAAAAATAGAGGAAGAAAGGTCATTTTGAAACTGATACACTCATCCCAAACTGATTTAGTAATTGATTTTATTTATAATGATGTTAAAGATAAAAACAAAAGGGGGTTGGGATCTAGTCTGCTAGAATTTTTAATTCGGAAAAATAATTACTAGCTCAAATAGGACGAGGTACGAAAAATAGTAGTAGTAGTATTATATGTTTTTGCATAAAAAATTTGGTAGAATTATTGACTGAATTTTATAATCCTTATGATACTAATATACTAATGGTGTGGCTTGTATATAGACTTAGGAATCCTTTGTTTCTTAGTAAACTGTCGTGCACAGCATGATTATCTTCTAGAAGTCTTGTACAAAATATTAGAAGAGCACATGGATAAGTATTTATTTAGTCATTAGGATTCTGAAATTTATTGACTATAATGGAACCTGCAATTATTAATTAGTTAATCTCAAATTCTCAACGTTAATTGGTCAAATAAATCCAGTCCTATTTAAGATTTTTGCATACTCCTTTAGAAAGATCTTTTACGACACTAACAGATGTATCTTATCTGGCAAGAGAGAAACACGCGATTATTTCAGAACAAGCAGAACGTACTTGCTATACATATCATAATTAGACAACTCATACAAGAAGTTTACTGCCAGGGAGCCATGAAGAGTAGACTAGCAATGCTAAAATACAAGGATCAATCAAGGGCTTCAATGGAGGAATGTTCGAGAAGTATTTTGAGAGAGAGAAAGTCGGTGAATTGAGAGAATCTTCTGTATCGTTATATACAAGAACTGAAGAAGAAGAAGATTAATGAATATAAAATGACTAAACTACCCTTAACTTACATTAACAGCTTCAACTAACCAACTAATTGACCTTGTCACATGCATGGCACATGCCATATTACAATATACCCCCTCAAGCTGGAGGGTGCAAGACGTTGAACACTCCAAGCTTGCCAAGTAAGTGAACATGTTGAGCAGTTCCTATAGCCTTAGTCAGTAAATATGCTTGTTACTCCTTAGTGTTGACATGCACTGCTTTGACTGTTCCTTTCTTGATTTTGTCCCGAATAAAATGACAATCAATCTCTATATGCTTAGTTCGCTCCTGAAGGACAGGATTTGCTGCAAGTTGAATAGCTGATTTGCTATCACTGAAGAATGTAATTGGTTGGGCTATACTCACACCCAGCTCCTTAAATAAACCAAGTAACCAGGTTACTTCAGCAATGCTGGCTGCCATACTTCTGTACGCTGCCTCAGCTGAACTCCTTGAAACAGTCTATTATTTCTTCGACTTCCAAGAGATCATTGAACCTCCAAATTTGATGACATAACCGGTCACTAATCTCCTAGTATCTAGACACGCAGCCCAGTTAGAGTCACACTAGCAAGCAAGTGTCTTTTCATAATAAGACTTCATCAAATTTCCTTGTCCTGGAGCATTTTTCAAGTATTTTACAAACCCTTAAAGCAGCATCCCGGAGGGACCTCTTTGGTGATTGCATAAACTGACTCAATGCTTGTACTGCATAGTTGATGTTTGGCCTGGTGATGGTGATATACAGAAGCCTTCCCACCAATCTCTGATAGGCACTAGCATTTTGTAGAGGTGGATCTCCTGTAACTCCATTTGCTTGATCATACTCTATTTATGTCAACTTTGAATTCACCTCCAATGGTGTACTTGCAAGTTTAGCTCCACTTAACCCTATTTATGAGATTAATTCCAATATATACTTCCTTTGATTCAACAACACTCCACTCCTAGATCTCATGACTTTAATGCCTAGAAAGTATTTGAGTTCTCCTAGATCCTTCACCTTAAAACTTTGATGTAGTATGTCATTAGCTTTCTTGATTAGGACTGAGCTACTTCATGTGATAAGAAGATCATCCACATACACCAAAATAATCATTATTCCCTCTTGACTTCTCAATGTAGATAATGAGTAGTTATGATGACTTTGCTAAAAAGCTTCTCTCAATATAGCTTCAGTTAGCTTGATATTCCACTATCGTGAGGCCTGCTTAAGTCCATACAGAGATTTGAGCAATTTGCATACCTTCTGCTCTCCTTTCCTTCTGAAACCTTTAGGCAACTCCATGTACAAGTTCTCATTTAGATCTCCTGGCAAGAATGCATTATAAACATCCATTTTGAAATAAATTCCAACCTCTTGATGCAGCTAAAGAAATGACAGATCTCACATTGACTATTTCTGCCACTGGTGAGAAAGTATCATGATAGTCCAAACCTTCCCTTTGACTGTATTCTTTTGCAACCAACCTTGCCTTAAATCTTTCCACTTCTCCATCTGCCTTGAACTTGATCTTGTACACCTATTTGGATCCAACAGTATTCTTACCTTCTGGTATGTTCACTATTTCCCATGTGTTGTTATCTTCCAGTGCTTTTACTTCTTCCTTCATAGCCTCTATCCACCTGTTGTCCTTTAGTGCTTCCTTTAATGTCTGTGGTTCTGTTAGTTGAGAGAAATTAGCTAAATAGCATTGATAACTTGCACTAGTATGATCATAGGTCAGGTAGTTTGAAATGGGATAGGTGCAACCGATTGTCTTCTTTGTTGTGACATAATCCCTCATCTATATTGACTCCCTTAATTTACCTTGTGGATTTTCGTTCAGGTTTTAAGTTCTTGTCACCTTCATCTTCCTGTTTGCTGTTTAGAGCTTCTACACCATCATGATGTCCATTACTCTGTGTACCTGCATAAACAATGTCCATATCCTCCACATTTTGAGGAACTTCATGCATATCATCAATATTTGTCTCATGTAGGGCTAGTAGATTGTTGTCCTGCAAATCATTCTGTCTATTGTCTTGCACAACCATATCCTCTGCTGTTGAGGTTGAGACATTCCTATCATATATGTTGCTGCCTGGCTGTGTGTGCAGAAGTGAGAATTGCAGTATTCCTTCCTCTATATATTCCTGTGCATCCAATGAACTGTTTCCATCTTTCTTAGCAAATGAAAACTCTGATTCTCTGAATATAACATCTCTACTTGTGAAGAATTGCTTTGTGTCTAAATCAAACAGGACATAACCCTTTTGTGTTTCAAAATATCCTATGAGAATAAC